CATAGCTCGTTTCCTTATTTCCACCAGATATCTGCTCAGGTGTCCCCTCAAAAGGCCTTTCTACCACCTCATCCCTTTATTTAATCCTTTGCCAGGTTTTGTTTTTCTTCATAGCAGTTATCACTGATGCTTTAGTATTCTATGTACTTATTTTCTTATTTGTTTATTGACTGTCTCCCCACCATAATGTAGACTCTGTGAAGGCAGAGTCTTGGTTTACAGTTGCATTCCTAGTGCCAAGGCTATGCCCTTGATCATTTTGAACAAATGCCTCTCTTCTCTCTCTCTGCTCTTCCTGGTGATATCAAAAGAATGATTAAAGAACATTCTGCCCTAGTCCTGCATCTCTGTTACTGGCCCAAATCCTGGCACAGATAAGATTCAGCTGATACAGATGGGAGACAATCCAGTGATGTGGCTAAGGGTGCCTCACTCTGGAGCCAGACCAAAAGTATCCATTTCCTAGCTCTGGCACCAACTGACTGTGCACCTTGGGTAAGTTGCTCAATTTCTCAGAGTTTCCCCATCTTTAAAATGGGAAAGTAAGAGTCCCTACCCCATAAGTCTGTTGTGAGGATTGAATTAATATGTTAATTTAAAGTGATCAACACATACCACGTGTTTGATATACCTTGTCTAAGGACATCTTCCGAGAGTAAGCTTTGCTTACTGTTTAGGTCACTTCTGTGTGCCTGTCATGTGGAAGCCTGTAAAAGTCACTACCTGCCTCCTCTGCAGCTCTTTTTTTTTTTGTTATCCTCATCACTGGCATCCTGTAAGAGCACTTCTAGATTGTCCTGCTGTCTAGGGGAACTGGATGGTTCTCCACCTGCTTTTGTTTTTTACAAAAGAGGAGACCCCTGGGCTTCAATCCCAGTTATCAGCCTGCTCCTCAAAACTGGTAAATCATCTACATTTAATCACTAGGTTTGGGAAAGGCCCAAGGGAAACCTTTTGTTATTCTCAGCTGACTGGCTGAGACTAGCCAGATCTGGAGTATCCCTGGGGCAGGAGAAAGAAAAGCTTCCTATAGAGAACTCTTACCCATAAGCCCTAGGATACTGCAAGTAAAGGAAGCATTGGTGTACTACACAGGCTGAGTGGAGAAAGAAGATGGCAAATCACTCATGAAAAGTAAAGAAATCCCCCTGTATGCAGGACTGGCTTAGAAGGAAGCCCCTGAGGCCCTCAAGTCCACTTTGTTATATGGCCCTGCTAGGCGGGGTTCCTAACCCAAGTAACTGTTTTACATCCTCCTTTCTTACCCACTCTGCGGTCCTGCTCCCTCCAACCACAGCTCCATGAATTACTCAGATGGGGAACTTCATTTACTAATTTTGGATAAACCCAATTTCATTAATATTTACTGAACACCCACAAGGAGCTAGGCAGTGTTAGCTGGCAGTCCCAGGAATCCTAGGAACCAACAATCCACAGCCACATCCCAGAAAAATAACCCTGCCTGTCTCTGAGCATCCTCATTTCCTCGGAGTCAGCTTCTGGTTTGATTCCCGCAAAACATCAACACTTCCTTGTACTCGGGGCTCGCACTGGGCTCCCGCGGGGCCTCCTTGAAACGCTGGAGGATTAAGTGCCCTGGAATAGGAAGGGCTGGAGAGGTAAGGAAGGAGGGAGGGGGAAAGGAACAAGGTGCAGTTCCCCCTCAATTCGTGTTCCAATCAGGAGTCGCCTGCGTTCCCAGTCGCTGATTCAAGCCGTCCAGAGACTCGTCCAGAGACTCGTCCAGGAACCGCCCGGCATCCTGGGCCAGAGACTTTGGCTGGTCCCGCGCCCGCGACACTCTCCTCCCTCCTCCCTCCTCCCTCCGGGCTCAGTGCCTCACTCAGGGGCGTGTCCTGTCCTACCTCCCTTTCACAGTGGTCCACTCATCCGGTTACAGCGGCAGCCGCGGCGGCAGCAGCAGCTAGAGCAGGAGCAGCGATAGCTCTGATAGCTCGGGGTTTCCAGAACAGGAGCTGTGGCCGTGGCAGCAGCTCAGTGGGGGCACCTGTGCAGAGCAGCAGTAGCAGGAGAGGGGGTGGGGTTCGTACCAGCCACTCTCTGAGCCTGAAGGAAGGGGCACCTCCCAGCCCCTTAGGAATCCACTGCTCCGCAGAATCTTGACACCGAGCTGGGAATGCTGGTTGGGGTAGACATGTGCAAGACCAGCTAGAGGGCTAGGAAAGGTAAACAGTTGGTCCAAGTGTAGAGAGACAACGAAAGCTGTTTCTGGGACCATGACAGCTTCCCACCTGGACTTTGGGGAGGTGGAAACTTTCCTGGACAGGCACCCAGAGTTGTTTGAAGATTATTTGATGCGTAAGGGGAAGCAGGATATGGTGGAGAAGTGGCTGCAGAGGCACAGTCAGAGGCAGGGGGCTTTAGGCCCAAGGCTGGCACTGCCTGGCACCAGCAGCTTGGCTCAAGTCAGTGGCAGAGGCAGCAGCAGCATTGGTGGTGGCACTGGATCAAATGGCTCTGCCAACAGCCAGCCCACTCCAGGTGGTGGGGACTGTGGCGGAGTACCCTTGAGTCCCAGCTGGGCCAGTGGCAGCCGGGGTGATGGGAACCTGCAGCGAAGAGCTTCTCAGAAAGAGCTAAGGAAGAGTTTTGCCCGCTCCAAAGCCATCCACGTGAACAGGACCTATGATGAACAAGTGACCTCCCGGGCCCAGGAGCCCCTGAGCAGTGTGCGGCGGAGGGCACTTCTCCGGAAGGCCAGCTCCCTGCCCCCCACCACAGCCCATATTCTCAGTGCCCTGCTGGAATCGAGGGTGAATCTGCCTCAGTATCCCCCTACAGCTATGGACTACAAGTGCCATCTCAAAAAGCATAATGAGCGTCAATTCTTTCTGGAACTGGTCAAAGATATCTCCAATGACCTTGACCTTACCAGCCTGAGCTACAAGATCCTCATCTTTGTCTGCCTCATGGTGGATGCTGACCGCTGCTCTCTCTTCCTGGTGGAAGGGGCGGCTGCTGGCAAGAAGAGTTTGGTCTCCAAATTCTTCGATGTGCATGCGGGAACCCCACTGCTGCCCTGCAGCAGCACAGAGAACTCAAACGAGGTACAGGTCCCTTGGGGCAAAGGCATCATTGGCTATGTCGGGGAACATGGAGAAACAGTCAACATTCCTGATGCCTACCAGGTAGGACTTGCGTTGTCCCCCTTCCAGAGCCCCATTGGTCTGGGAGCCAAACTTTCAGTTACCCTTTGACATCCAGGAACACATTAATTTAGATTCTTTGCAATATGAATCTTGCTGTTTAAATTCCTTCTAAGTTTAGACTAGTTAGAATGTTACTACACCATCTTTGATGTCAAGGTGTTTTCCTAACATACAGTAGCTTGCGGACAGTTTATATAGCACAAAGACTACATTTTGCATCCACTAATACCACATGTTTCTCTGTCAAGATATTTTGTCTTTAAGAATATCAAAGTATGATTTTAGAATACATTTACTAGAAAAAGATATCTACTCCAGATTTCAGTGTTAGTTTCAAGAAAATGGGCATGTTGGTGTGTCTGATGTCTTTTTGGGACAATAATGCATTTCATTCTCATTCAAGGTTGGAAAGGGACAGAAAGCCTATTTCCCTATCCCCTTTTCTAGTTTATAGTTGCATGAGTTCCAAGGTAGGGAAAAATAGAAAGAGGAAAGTCAGGGAAAGAATGGGCCTATGACCCATTTGTATCTATTTTGACCCTTTAAGCATCTATTTTAACTGTTTTGTTGTTGTTCTGTTTATAGAGGTTTGTGGAGAAATAGAGGGGTTATTTATCTTTAGGCTGGAATACAGTATTATCTGCAGTTAGCTTTGACGGGACTGAGTAGGAGGTTTTTAGTTTGTGGAATAAATAAAAAACTGATAATCTTTTAGCAACTCTGAAGGCAATGAGCAAGGTAAACATGCCAGTTTCAAGTGGAAAAGGAAACCCCAACATGCTGTCATCTGGTATTCTAAGCCTTTCATTTTCACAGTGTTTCAAACTTGATATTAGATCCTGCATCTGAAAGCCAGTCAGTTCTAATTTCTTCAGTATCTACTCACTGAATGTGGTGAAACTGGATGCCACTGTCTATAAGACTTCTTCAGGGTCCATAGGAATGAAAAGTTCTTATCCTTGGTTATGAAAGTATTAGACGAACACTTCTTCCGGTTGTCTAATAGAGCTACATGTTTTTCTAGAGTTTGGTTGCTGTTGACCAGAGCAGCAAAAGTGGTGGAAAGGATGTTAAAGGTAAAATTTCTCTGTTTCAACTGAAAGTTAACAAAGAAAATTGACTAGCTCGTATTAAAACCAAGTTTCATGTTTTTATGAGGTGTCTGTAAGTGTAACGCTATAATGTTAAGGGATGCCTGTCAAAATACCATTTTGATTAACCTTTTGTTATTGATTAGGTACGTTATTCATTATATCCTTCTTGAAGGCTGTTAGGTTTAGGTCAAGGAAATAATGAATGAACTTTAACAAGTGTCTATTTCTCTACAGTCCCAGAAAGTCATGGGAAGAAATAAAAGCATTTAATAATTGATATATTGAAGATTCTGTAAAAAGATGAACAAACTCTTTTCTTTCCTAGTATTTCCACATCCTTATTTTGCTTGGGCAAAATAAATAAATAGATAAATAAATAACCTACCAACTCTTCTTACATAGATGATACTTGTTATACCCTGGTATTACGGTCTTTTCTCTTTCTGGCTTTTTCTTTTTCTTCACCATTTGATTTTCTCCCATTTGTATAGCTTTTATTTCTTACTCCTATCCTTCAGCTCTTAACTTTTATTTAATACTTTTCATATATCGATTGTCTTTTCTTCAAGAACAAAATTCCTGGCTTCCTTAGCAGTTTCGTTGTCTGCCTGCTGACTAGAACTGTGGCTAGAGGTGTTATCACAGGCATAGAAAATCAGATTTTCAGCAGCTAATGTTCCTTCTGGGCCCTATTATTACTTTGAAGACAGAGTATAAAGCAAAGTAGCCTTTTAATATTTGAAAGCTGACATTGAGAAAGGAGAGTTTGGTGTTTTTTTTCTTTTGTTTTTTGTTTTTTGTTTTTTGTTTTTTTACCTCCCAGGGTAGTAATAATGGCTGTTGTTGGGAGGACTGGCAAAGTCAGGGCAGGGAATGGTGTTATATGGGTTGAGAGTTTAAGATCTTAGTTCACTCCTTGTCTTCATTTCAGTCTGCTTAGAAAGTTTATGTTTTCTTTCCCCACTGCCTTCTACTGTATCTTTTTAACTTGTGTTTTTCTTTAATAATACTACTTTTTTTCTTTATTATACATCACAATCACCAGTAGTGTGACCTTGGAAGAATTTCTTGATCTCAGAGTCTCAATTTCCTCATCTGCAAAATGAGAATAACACCTACCTGGCAAAGATTATTGTTTTAAAAATAAAATGAGATATTGCATTAAATTCCCTGGGCCATTGCAACTACTCAGGTCATGGTAACAGTTTATGATGACTATAATGATGTCTAGTTGGCTAGTATTATTTTTGTTTCTCTTTATCTCATTTTCAATTGTTTTTCTTCTTAACTGGGACTGAGATGTTAGCTAAGCACATTTTAACCAGCCCAATCTTTCTCTAAGCTATGCTTCACCCTTAAATTAAACATTTTAGAACCAGCTTTACATTCAAGGAATAGAGGGATTAATATCTACCCTTCCACCCTCTACTTAAGATTTCTCTAAATGTAATTGATTACACTTGACCATGACCTATCCTATCAAAAGTTCACATTTTGTTCCTCTTAGTATCTCATGTATTGTAAACTTTTTATAGAGTTGTATTGATGTTTCATCCTTCCCAAATTCTAGTATTTTCCCCCATCAATTTTCTGCTATTATAGATTTCTCTTAATGAAAACTTGAGTCTTCCAAATGCATGTTCTTTTATCATAATGTTATTGAAATTCTAATCATGTTGTAAACATCTTGAAGTTTCTATGTAAAAATATAACCATCCTCCCTGATTCTTCATTAACTACTCATTTTTAAGGTGTTTCTTGCCCAGATTCAACTTGTGTAGTACTTTTTTCCTTCAGGATAAAAATTATCACGCATAGTTTCAAAATTTAATCATTTGATAATTAGATTGATGATCCTCTTCGGGGTTCAGAATATGGGTGAGAGAAAGGCATTGAAGACATTTATGAGATTATGATAATAAGAATGCATTCTGGAGTCAAAGATAGCCTATTTAATGAAATATTAAAGTTGAAAAGAAGTTTCGACAGCAAAAATACTCCTCAGTTTATTTTTCATTACTGTTTCTCAATTAATCCTAAAAAACAGACTTGAAATTTGGAGACAAAGAATTGCAAATGGAAAACATTTTCAATTTAGGTACTTAGTATGGATCCCAGTGGCTACAATTTACCTTTTCCCCCTGACAGTTATAAGTTATTAAACAGCCCACTTTAATGAAGAAATGAATAAATTGCCTTCAATAGATTGAAAATAAGAGCACTCAAGTAACAGGTGTTCTCTTTGAGATTGTTCTAAGCATATAGAACATAGCACTTTAAACATTAATAAAAAGCGTGAGATATTTTTGTTAGTGTTGTTGATAATAATGATACAGGTGTTTGATAGCCTTTGGGTTTGAAAAGCAGCCAGGATGTTTTGTTAGGTGAACTGAGAGAAGGAAAGGGGATGACGCAGAAGGGTTACAGGTGTGCCAGGCTTTCAGAAAACCTGATCTATTTACACAACAGATTCATTTATTCATTAGTTTCAACAAACATACAGTGAGTGTCCATTCCACGTAAGGCTCAGGTCAGGGGCCTGTGGGTGTACAAAGGTGAGAGGACATGCTTCTTTTTCTTCTAAATGCTTACAGTTAAGGGGCATGTACTATTCACAAACAACTAATGCCAGACAGTATTTAATAACACCAACTAAATGTCATTAGTCTTAGAGGAAAATGGTGTCATATTGTATCTGGGCTCATGATGGAAGACTTCATGGAGGAGGTGGTATTCAAAGAAAAACGTTTTAGCGTGATAAGAATGATGTTTTGGATCACCTGGTGGCAGTGGCTGAATGGATTGAAAAAGGGAAGTCTCAAAGCTATGAAAATAATTAGGAGTCTATAATGATGGTCTGGTGGAGCCACTATGAACAACTGAACTAAAGCAGGAGCAGTGGAAATGGATGTCAGGGGGATATATGGGAGATGTCCTGCTGGTGTGGATAGTCAGTGATGACTCAGATTCTAAATTTGGGTGATATGGAGAAAGGTAATGCTGTTATAAAAACAAGAAGAGAAACTGGGTAAGTAAAGATTTTAAGTAGAGCCAGCTACTTAAATTTATGGAGCTCAGTGCAAAATGATAAAGCAGGAACCTGGCTGGAGAGTCTACGCCCCCAATCAACCAGATGTGTGACTCCCAAGTGATTTCAACCTCCATGCTGAGAAATTCTCAGTACTTGAATCTGGGGTGGGTGAGTTGCCTGCTGGATTCGCCATAGTGCTGCCAGCTCTGGGTGGGGGTGACCACCGCCTTGCTTCTCCTCTTGATGACATGGGGCATGCATCTGACCTCCACACACTACCAACCAGATGTCAGTTAGGAGCAGAGGGCAAAAGCAGACATGGGATGTGGGCCTCTCCCTCAACCAGTGTGACCTGGTTATGGCTCCTGGTTTCAGGGTACAAGACAAGGGGGTAGTCTGGGCGGGGCCCAGGACACCAGGAATCAAGAATCAGTGGCCAAGAATCAGTGGGCAGGAAGTGGGAGAGGAGACTGAGTGTGAGCTGAAGCTCCAAGATCCAGGCTCATACTCCATTGTCCCATGAACTTCAGAGCACAAAATCGAAGATAAAATTATTACGAATTTCACATAACACAGCATTAAATCTCAAGCACGGGCCCCCATCCTACTGCCCTGGTCACATGTCCATGAAGCTAGCCCTGATTCTGAGTCATATCGAGTCTTAGGTGGAGAAGTTCAGTTTTATTCCAGCCCAGCATCTACTGCTTTTACACAGCCTCAGCTCTATTCTAATTAAGTTATATGCCATTTTCAATGCCTGGATAGTGCTTTTGTATTTCTGTGGTTTTCATCCTTTCTTCCAGGACTATACTTACTCTCTCTTCATTCAAATCTTGCTCTGCCTACTTATAACA